TTCACTGCTGAAAATTCTCCATGTTGCTTATCTTGCTCAGAACAAAAGCCAAAGTCCTTGTAGATGCTTGCTAGGCTCCAGGTGATCTGACCTTCTCTGGCCAGCAAGTCCCTTCTATCTTTGCCTTCCTTCTCTCTTGCTGCTGACCTTCATTTTTAACTTTAGAACTTTTTAACCACTTAACATGCTCTGAATCCTCCTGTCTGTTTCTTCTCCTACCACTGGCATGGAGGCTTCATGAAGACAGAAGCTGTTCTTGTTCATGGATAGAGCCTCAGCTTCTAGAACCTGCCAGCGGTTACTTGTGAATAAATGAGTGGATATCATTGTTATCTGTATGGCCCAAAGCTAACCCTGCCCTCATGCTCATTCATCAAATGTTTGATCATCTGTTTCATGCTCTGCACTAAGGACAGAAGAAGAACCGAGAGTTTCCAGTCTAATATGGAAGAACAAATTATAAATAGATATACAATTACAACAGGGTACAAATCAAGATTGGCAAGTGTATGGACTTGTAAGAACAAATGATTAGGGAGTAATGACCTAGGTGAAGTCACAAAGCCAAGAGGCCATGGTAGGCTTTCCCAAGAGAATGACGACTGAGGTGAGATCAAAACAAAGAGAAGAGGTTAATTGGGTAAAGTGGAAATGGTGGCAGAAAGTGTAGGTGGGCAGACAAAGAGGAGAGCAGGTGCAAGGGCACTGTGGTAGAAGGAACATGGAAGTTCAAGAGACTGAATAGAATAGGAACTGGCTGAGGAGGGAGCATGGAAGGAGAGAAGGTTGGAGCCTTTTTAATTATATCTCTTCATTCCACCTAATTAAGAACATCAAAAAAAAAACCCTTCTTTATTCAAAAGAAATCCCCATTCTGATCTCTAAATTGGTATCAAATTACTACCTAATGTATATTTGCTTAGACTCTAGCTTTATAATCATCATATTAAGTGTATTTAAAAGCAAAAGGGAAATGAGAAAATGAATATGTGCTCTGGTAAAAAAAGAAAAATTAGCTTTGTTGACTTATGTTTAAAAAGTCCTTGATTTACCAGAATGTCTAAGGAATAGGAATTTCTGGTTCATTTAGCTTTCACTGCTATTATTAACTGAGGCTTAAAAATAAAATTATTTTGCTTAAATCATTTTAGAAAGTCTTCAAAAATAATTTTAGCCCTTTTCCTGCCTTATTAAGCAATTTGTGTCGCAAAGTTGGATGGCACATGTAGCTGCACTTTCATGCAGACACGTGTAAAATCTACAAGCCTTCAATTACAATGTGATTATCCTCACAACGCCCAAATGACTGTTTCTCATTTCCATGAACTCCTATTCCTCCACAGTCATGATATAGGAAGAGGGGGAAATAAAAGTTGGTTTCTGATGACCTTTGGGGACTGCCATTTGGTGCCTGGACACCTTTCTTACTGGGTCTGTCCCTGCTGGAGAAATGCAGGCGGGTGTCCCACAAAACTTACCAGATGAGGTAAACTTAATTTAGACAGTTAGCCTGGCTCGTGGACCCTGGGGTTTAGAATGAGTTTCTTGTCCTCCTCATGTTTTAATAAAAGTGAGCCCTAGATTTATCAGCTTCATCCTTCCTGGTTAAAGGACAATAATACTGTCCTTCATGGCAGTTTTGTTCTGACCTGATCCAGAATCACAGACAGCATTTAGCTGTCATTCTTTAGTGGCCTCTAATCTAGAACAGTTCCTCAGCTTTTCTTTGTCTTTCATAGCTTTGACATTTTTGAAAAGTTTAAGGCAGTTCTTTTAAGAATGCCCCTCGCTTGGGTTTGTCTGAGCGTTTCATCGTGTTAGGTCCATGGTATGCACGCCGGGCACAGGATGTCATGTGTGTCCTCAGGGCTGTGTATCGTGTACACAGGTGTCCATTTGTATCCCCCAGGCTGGTGTTAACCTTGGTGGCTTCACTGTGGAGGTGTCTGCCAGACTTCCCTACTGTAAATACTGTTTTTTTACCTTCAGTAAATAGAGTAATAGGGAGGGACAGAGTTTAAGAATAAGTCAGTATTTTATTCCCCATACTGCCTGTCACCAATGGTTTTAGCATCCATGGCTGCCACTTGCCTGAATCCATCATATGATGATGGTTGAAAATAGTGATTTTCTAACTGTCTTTTCCCCCAATTTATTAGTTGTTATCCTACTGTGAAACAGTTTTTCCCTCTCCCCCTTTATTTACATGCGTATTTTGTGTCAGCGTGGCTCACAGAGTTGGTTTTTTTAAAAAGTCAGTGCGGCATGCATGGTGCATTACTGTCTCTCGTCCATTCCGTGTTGTCGCACTTTGGCCTGTGGAAGTCCTGAGACACCGGGTCTTTTATCAGTTTCTTTGTGTCAACAATATGAAAAATGGATAATAGAGATACATAGAGGAACATGGGAGCAGGAAGCCAGGGAGGGGAATTTGCTGGTGATTAGGAAAGGCTTCAGTGAGGGAGCAGTATTTGAAGTGAGCTTTGAAGAAGTGGTGGGATTTCCACAGGAAGGCCTGGCCGACCTGCTGTCTGGCCAGTCACGCAGCTGACCTGGACCTGCCGGGGAGGGTGAGATGGAGCAGAAGACCCTCCTCACTTAGATCGCTTCGAGCGTTTGCTGGGCTGCTCTCACTGCTTAGAACTTCCTCCCTGGCCTTAGCTCTGCTGGTTTGCTAAGGGGAGGATGAAGTGTGAGGCAAGAGGAGGGTCTAAGCAGTGAACACAGCATGAGCCCAAAGCTGCACTCACAAACTCCCTTCTCCATGAGCCTTTTCCAGATCCCTCATGAGAATTAACCGCCCTCCTCTTGTGCGTTCCTGTGGCACTTTGTGCCTCTGTGTTAACAAACCTGTTCTTTGTCTTGTGCTGTTTCTATTTGTGGCAACATCTTCCTGCTTTAAAGCCTGACCGACATGTTAATCACTTTTTCCCTCTTCCCAGTGCTCGGCACACATGCTCAATAAATATTTCTTGAGTATGAATGAGAGAGGAAGGAGAAAGGGTAGGGTGGAGTTGGTTGGGGTGGGGGGCTCTGGAGGTCATTTTCGGAGGTTCGGGTTTGCTCCGCGGGCAGTGATGAGCCCCGGGGCTGTGGACCAGTGCTGGGCTGATGGGAGCTGGGATGTCTGAGGATGTGTTCGAAGCAGGGCTGCAGGGTGCTTGTGGGTGGCCCTGGAGAACCTCGAGCCGGAGGGCAATAGTCAGGAAGCCAGTGGTTACCACCTCTTGAATCTGGGCACTCATTTGAATATAAGGGTTGGGAAAAAGGAAGGAATTGAGCATGGCTTTGAGGTTTCAAAACAGGGTGATTGGGAGACTGGCCAAGGCCTCTTACCAAAATGGGAGCCCAGGGCCAGTTACAGAAGAGGTGAGGAGTTCAGTGTCCTCCTGTCTCTTCTTCAGCCAAACCTTTCCCTGAATTCAAAACAATCTGTACTGTTGAAAAAGATTTTTTATTGTATCAAATGCAGTAAGAAATCAAATATTGTCTCGAGGCATAAAGACTGACTTGGGTGTAATGGACATTTATCTTTTGGCTTTAGTAACGGTTTCATTAAAAATGGATGTCAGTAACTGCTTTTTTAACCTTGAAGCATGGCCCTGTGAGAGCAGCTTACCATGAAAGAAATGGTCGTCAGCTTCCTTCTGGCTCCTCCATCCCTCCTGCCCCTTCCTAACAACGGAAAATTGGCTGTGCACCTGCTCCAGCTAAGCCCTAAGTGATAAGCATCTTGCAAGCCCAGAAAATTGTAGTATCAAATCTCAGCCCCAACTGTGAGGCAGCACTATCCCCGAATCCCCGCTGAGAGGCGTCGCTTTCCCAATTCCCGAGGGAAGAGTTCTTTCTCCCCTGGCCCCTTTTCAGGCTTGAACTCCAACCTGAACCCTCTTTTTAGCTCCCGGCATGCATCACTCTGGGTGCTGGCCCTGACCCCACCCTGCCCACTCTCCTCCGCCCTGGGCTCATCAACAGGGCAGCCCTGGGTAGCACCGGGGTCACTCGAGTGCCTCATTCCAATAATGAGCATATTTATCCAAGGACAGGAAATGGACTTTTCTGTTTGTTACAGTCCATTGCTTTTTCTCCAGAAACAAATGCTACAGGAATATTTGGTATATTATCAGTGGTTTGGTAAATAGACATAAACGTTGCCTAATATTCACAGAGTTGCTTCCAGTCACACCTTCCTTCATAAATTAAATGCTTTGTTTTCACTTGTGACTTACTCTAAGAGGGATATTTCTATTTCACTGCTAGGAAATGTGAAATGTTTTAAAATAATGCCATATTCATGAGAACTCTTACAAGAATTTCAAATAAAAATAAATACTAATTAAATAAGTGTACACCATTCTCCTGGGACTTAGTGTCTGGTTTCAGAGGGAAAGAAAAAAGGCTGACAGAGACTTTATAATTTTTGTCTTTGTATTTTCCTCTTAGGCTTTTCAAACAGACCAAAGTCATTGAAAATACTCCTTAACCCCCAAAGCCACAAAAAAGAAGCTACCCAGGTCTATTATGAGAAGGTTGAACCACTGTTAAAGATTGCAGGAATAAAGACTGATGTAACAAGTAAGTATTTTCAGAACATCATTTTGTCATTAAAAAGAATCATACTTAAGGAAGCAAAATAACCTTGAATTTGTTCTTAAGCCAAATTTAGGAAGCTACTTGTAATATCTAACGCTTGTTGATGTGATTCTATAACCCACTGCAGCCAGCCCCAGGATTATAATTTAATTATTTTTTTCTTATTTAAATTGTGTTTTTATTAGCATCAGTATTTTCTCTTTGCACCTTTCCTCAGACTTAAAAAATCTTTAGGAATCATTTTTAAGGGGTCTGCACACTTTTTGATACCATCATTGAGATGTTTGCTATTTATATGTTATTTCTGCAGTTCAGCGAGCAGTTGATTTTTGCTCACTTGAATGTTTGATGTCTTTCCATGGGCTCCTTCATTACGTGGTTTTTGTTCTGACTCTGACCCCTGCTGGTTAGGTCAAAACTAAACACTTAACTGCTAATTTTAGATGAGTTTTGTGAAGCCGGAAGCTTAAATTATTCGTCTAAAATAAAGGAAGGTCCTTAGGTTTGTGCCCAGGAAAATAGAAATTTGCTAATGCTAAAGTTAATAGAAAGAGGAGTAGTAAAATTCTTTCCAACTTTTAAAATTTGGTGACCAAATTCTTTTGTTTCCTTGAGACTTAATTTCCCCACGAGGGGTAGGGTGAGAAGGAGGGTTGGTTCTCTTGTGAATCAAACGCTCAGTTTTTCTGGTTTTGTTTCTGTGTAGCTTCACTAACCATGAAAATTTGTAGTAAATTTTAATTGATGAAGAACATTGCATAGCAAGTACTCAGGATGCAAGGCCAGTGTGCGCTTGGAATCTCCTGGTCCCGATTACAAATTCCTGTGGAAGGGATTCAGAGTGACCTGGCTTTGCTCAGCTGTAACCAAGGGAAATGAGTTTCACAATGTAAATAAGGTTTGTAAACCTACATCTCAAGCCTTAATGGATGGGATAGAAGAAAGACTTTAACAAAAAGAAAAAAGAAAAAAAAAGCTTTGTGGAAAAGTCACCCACCCCAAAAGGCATCTACCACAATGGAGGTTCTAAAGAAACTACCACAAAAAACTCAAGAGGAGTTTCTGAATTTAAAAAAAAATGTGGTGAAGGAGGTAATCTTTCATCTTGGTAGCTTTTGGCTTACTTGGAGGTGATTTATAAGAAAAAGAAACAATTCAGAACTATTATTCCTTTCCACTGAAGATTTTCAAGGATTGGCAGAAGGAAAAGTTTGAAATTGATATTAGGGTGAGACAATTAAAAGTTGAGAAAACTTACTGGCCAACTCAATAATGCTTCCTTATTTTGTTTCATTGATTTAATATCCAGAACACTGTTATGTGGATGTTACTGTGTATCATTCAGTTCAAGAATCTCTTGTTGAAATGCTTTGTGTTCAACACTCTGCAAGATGCGAGACAGATGAGCTCTACTACCTACTCTTGAGTGACCCTTAATTTATTGGGGATTAAGGTAGATATTTAAAGTAGATGTAATTGGGGTATACATAAAAGAATTATGGATATACATAAATGAATTATATATAAAAATATATTAATTTTGATCAGGAGACTGAAGAAAAGGATTTGAACTAGGCAGTTTTGGAGAGTCAGAGAGGGCAAACAGTGGTGTCCTGTGCATGAGTAGGAAAAGAAAAGAGACAAGGAGGCAAGCTAGCAGTGCATACAAGTGGGGTGTGTCTGTGTCCGCTGAGTCCACAGTATTTTGGTAGTTCTTTCAGAACGTTGACTTCATCTTAAAGTGGTCTTTCCTGTCATCATAAAATGGTTGCCAGTGAATATGATTTTTCTTTATTCAAATCTAGTAGGAAAGGGAGAGGTGTGTGTATGTGAGAGATTCAACATGTTTTGATCCTGAACAAGCATTTACATTTCTTCCTTTCAGTTTGACTGTCCTAATAGAGTATGTATGCCCCACCTAGAGCACTCAGTCTCTTAAGCATCAAGATCCTTCTTGTGGGCTGAGGGTGAGACCCCCTTCTCCCAAAGGCTGAGGATACCTGAGCCGAATTTAAGAAGTCTCCCAAAAACATGCACAAGGGGAAGTCTGAGTGTCCAGATTAAGGATGGATGTTGATACTTCACTCAGGAGTTTACTCGTCACGCATTGATCCTGAGTTGCTGTACGTTTTTTATCATGGTGCTGTAATCTAGCTTAGCAAAGATGATTATGTCATCAGAATAAAGATTAAAAAAGAAGAGGGAGAGACGGGAGAAAAGGAAACCCATTCGTGAGGCCCGAACTAAGGTAGAGGAACGACAGGAATGTGCTTTCTTCCTTAAAACAATTGTATTGGAGAGAAAAAATATTCTGTTCTAGGGCTTTTCTCCCCCTAAATTTTTAGTTGTTGTTAAGTATTATATTTAGTTTAACATAAAGTAAAATTAGAATATTACATAAAAGCAAATTTAGAATTTATTTATATATTTGTGCAGAATGACTAATTATTAGCTGCCTAACACTCCTCCTACAGGCAAAATTATAAAATTGCATCTTTTGCTTTTAAAACCATTTTAGTATGTGTATTGGCTAAATATTTATTCGATTTTATGTGAAGGACTGAATAAACATGTGGATACCTGAAAAGTTTTAGAATCTCTGCCTGTCTCACAGTGTAGTTTTGTAGTTTGAATAAGATAATATATTTAAAACTACTGTGTATATTATAAAGTGCTACAGAAAGATGGTTGTAATGCTGTGCATTTCAGTTTCATAAATTATCTAATAGTAAGATTCAATTCAAACTTTGAAAGAAAAGTATCTCTTATGAAAGAGTAAAGCAGAAAGAGTACATATTTTCTGCATGTCCTATATGGCCATTGTTTTAACAAACCTTGTGTGCATTGCTGAGCCCACATGGAATATGAATTATATAATAAATTTTGTATGTTGATGAATTATTTAAGAGATAGTGCTGTATAAATGAGGCATGATTTGAAAAATTATAGCTATATGTATACATTATAAAGTAATTTTTTTATACATTTCTTTTAAAAATGAATAGCAACTCTTAATCTGGGGGAAGGTTATGGCTCTGGTGGTAGAGCACATGCTTAGCATACACCTTTATGTGATGTCCTTACTCCCTGTCAGCAGCTCCACTAGAGGCAGGCAGAGATGCATCAGGCTCAAACTCTTGAAGGAATATGAGCTCTTCTTTCATCAAAATACTATAGCAAGGTGAGTGTATAGCTCAGTGGTAGAGCACAGGCTTAGCATGCACAAGGTCCTGGGTTCAATCCCCAGTACCTCCTCTAAAAATAAACAAATAAATCTAGTTACCTCCTCCCCCCCAAGTTAATTAATGAATTAATTAAACTCTAATCTGATTAAAAAATGGACAGAGAATCTGAGTAGACATTTGCCCAGATAAGACGTGCACATGGCCAGTAGCTACAGGAAAGGTGCTCAACATCACTAACCATCAGAGAAATGCAAATCAGATCACAGTGAGATATTACCTCACACCTGCTGGAACGGCTACTTTCAGAAAGGCAAGAAATAACAAGTGTTGGTAAGACTGGAGAAGAGAGCGCCCTCATGCCTTGTTGATGAGAATGTAAATTGGTGCAGCTACTGTGGAAAACAGTATTAGTTTTCCCTCCAAATTAAAAGTAGAATTACCATTTGATCTAGCAATTCTATTTCTGGGTGTTTATCCAAAGGAAACAAAAACACTAACTCAAAAAGATAACAGTACCCCTATGTTCACTGCAGCATTATTTACAATAGCCAAGACATGGAATCAACCTAAGTGACCATCAGTGGATGAATGGATAAAGAAGATGTCGTATGTATACACTACAGAATACTATTCAGCCATAAAAAGAAGGAAATCCTGCCATTTGGGAGAATGTAAATGGACCTTGAGGACAGTAGACTAAGTAAAATAAGTCAGAGAAAGACAAATGCCATATAATCTCACTTATATGTGAAATATTTTTAAAAATCCCCCCAAACAAGCCAAAAAAAAAAAAACCCCACAGAACATGTGGATACAAAGAACAGATTTCCAAATGTGTGGGGGGATGGGGCAGTGAAATGACTGAAGGGTGTCAAAAGATACAAACTTCTAGTTTGAAAAAAAGAATCTCAGCACATGGATAAAAATACACTTCTTTCATGTTGGTGAGTGGTCGTTACTCTCAATGCAGTATCTCTTTTCTAGTAATGGTATCAGAAAAACTCTGGTAGAACCTAGAAAGAAGAGTTATTTTTTCCTAATAACTTGATATGTGAATGGAAGAGCATGAATGGTAAGCCAATGCTGGCCTGTGATAGCATTTACTTCTCTTCCTCCCAGAGCAAAGCAGGCTTGAGGAATTACACCATCAAAGGTGTGAGAGGAATTTTGAAACACCATCGATTCCCAGAATAATTCATAAAACAGTGAAAAAGTCAAGGCAGCAGAGAAATTAAACTGGAAAGAACTTGCCAGGCCATCTAGTTCAGTGTCCCTCATGCGGTGGAGAACATGCATGTGGCACTCCCCCGGATGAACACCCAGCGTCGGCTTGGGCACCCTGTGGTTGAGTCAGTGAGTGTTGATTCTGGACAATACTGATAGACATTCTTGACTTCAGTTGGGGGTCACAGGGCTCTTGTCCGTATTAAAAAAGGACACTTCCTTGTGCTGACTTACAAAAAGGTGCCCTTTTTACTGGGCTGTTGCAGCTCAAGGTCATGTAGCATGTTGAATAGGAGTATTGGCTGGATTGCAGACCTACCTGCCCCTTTGGCCAAATGCCTTTGTGCAAGACATAAACTGCATAGAGAACTTGTAAGCTGATGTTTGCCTCCTTATGATTTTCAGAATTAATGTTATCTTTTATAGCGATACAAAATAAATGAAATAAATCTATTCCATCTTGTGTATAAGAGCATTGAAGTATTTGAAAATAGATCATCATTTCTGTCCTTGATCTCTCTTGTTCAAGACAGGTAATTCTCCATCAGTCTTTGTAGTAACAAAGCTGCTAGACCTTATCATGTTCATTGTCACAATCAAAGACACTTCTCTGAATGTAGCCTTGGTCTCTGCCAGCTCAAGGCCCATGAGAGTGCCTGGTCACCAGATAATTTTACCTCCTGACGGACTCTGGGCAGTTGTCAAAGTGGGATTAGTTACCACTTTTTTTTTTTCATTCTTCTAGGATCATGTGTTTAACTTTTGATGCTTTTACCAAATCTGCTCCTTCAGTTCTTCCCCTTTGGCTCTTTATGTCTCTGCTTGAAGCTTTCCCTTCCATGAAGATGCCTCTTGTTGCTCTGATGTCACTCAGCAGAAAGCTAGGTGATTTGATAAAACTATATTAAGAAAGATGCTATTTGGCAGAGGCATTACTCCCTTTCAGTTTTACCTATTTTTTATATTGTTATTTTAACTTACATTTTAACAAAAATCTAGGTAGTAAATGTTCATGAATCATATGCAGCTGGAAAGAGAGAATTCTGGGTGAAAAGTTTTTTGTGTTGTCTCTTGAGTAACTATGGATTTTTATGACTAATGCCATTTCTAGTACTAAGATGTCAGTCAGGGAGTTGGAACTTTATCCTGGGGTTGAAGAGTAGTTGTCAGTGGTGTTTCTGTAGGGAGGTGATGTGACTAAATACATGCCTGAGGAAGGTTATTCCGTCTAGAGTGGGATAACGGTTTGGAAGGAGACTGGAGGAGAGACTGGTGTAGCTTCACATTAAGGATGGTGGAGACTAGATTTAGGGCATTGGCTTGAGGACTGTTGGGATGCTGCAGCATAGTTAAAAGACAGAAACAACTGGCTTTGGGATGGCGTGGCTGTGGAGAGTGAAGGAAAGGGATACTCTGGGAAGAAGAAATTTTCCTGCCTTGGGTACTGGGGAGTGGATGATGCAACACAAAAAGAACAATATAATTGAGAAGCAATATATTGGAAGGTGGAAATGATGGATTCTATTTTGAACTTACTAAGTCTGAAGTACCCAAAGGACAGGAAAGAAAATGACATCTCAGTCTCTTATCCTGTTACAGAATTTTATCACGAGACCAAGAAATGTTTCCTTATGTCGAAATCAAAACTCATCGGATTTTACTCCAGCCTGTTTCCTTATCAATATTCAGTATCAATCTCAAGATATTACCCTCCTCCAGTATTGTCTTTCTAAGGAAGTAATATTTAAACTAAAGGTTGAGATGGGTGGGGGATCCCAGCAGTGAGAAATGTGTGTTCAGAGAGTTATAAACAATGAAAACTCCAAATTTTCTGTTTGAATGGGATGTCAATCTCATTGGGAAAGTGGGAAAGGAAAGTAGATGAAAGAAGAGGCTAGTAACTTTCTTCTGAAACTGCATCTGCCTAGCAGCCCAGTCTTGACGTTTATTTGAAGTGGGATGATTAGAATCTGGCTCTTTCTGCTCCTAATAACATCCTGTCTAAACACATATTTTGGTTCCTTCTACTCCTTCTAAATAGTAGTTCAGATTACTCTCTGTCCTTTTCCCCTATGTTATTTTTCTTTACAATCACTTATTACTACTTTATATCGAGCATTGATTTTTTTAAAAATTAGTGTATATTTTCTGTCTCCAAGTGTAACCTCCCTGAGGCCAAGCCAAGGACTTTTATTCATTGTCCTGATATATTGTGGTCAGGTTTCTTTTATCTTTTCTCTTGTTCTTCATCACTCATTTTATTGAACTTTATTGAACTTACAATGTCACATTAAAAAAAAAAGATTGTTCTTAGATAATTTGTATCAGCGTATAGTCACAGTCCACCAGCAGGATGAAATGAAAAATATTATTTCAAACTTTTCCTAAATAAAACTAGCATTCAGCTGCAACATACTTTTAAAGCTGATTTTGTTTGAGATTTGAAAAGCTTTACCAATGTAAGCATTGGTATAAAAGAAAGACTTGATAAACTGATTCTCAGCATAAATATTTCTCCCTAATAGCCTTAATTATTTTTAATGTGTGTTTGTCAGACATTTTATTATTCTTTCTAAGGTTGCAACGAATTGCTGAAGTTAGAGATGAATGATCAACACACAATCACTTATGATAACTTAACCTTCTAAGTTTATTAATATTAATCTTTTATATTTCATTTTCTTGTAGCTTTCTTCTGATTAGAATTTAATATAGAGAAGTTTTATTCATGTGAACACTAACCATATTTGAATAAGCTGTGCGAGAATTACAATGTAGTGCTGCTGGATACAGAATGATTCTTTTAGACACCAAGACTAATAATTTTTAACAATATCTAAAAACATTGTAGGAAAAGGCTGAACCATGCTGGCACCAGGGACAGACAGGCATGAAAGATTAATGTAATCTTGCATATCATGATGCACATTCTTACACAAAAAATCCATCTGCAGTGTCATGTCAGTCAGCAGAAATCTTTGATGGGTGGATACAGCTGGGCTGTCTCTTCTGGCAGAGCTGCCCTAGAAAATGCTAAATGTGGTTGGGAAGCTTGGTGCCATCTGCAGCGTGCCAGTTTATCCTGTCTTCACTGGCATTTGCAAGACTGCGTAGGGCATCATGACTGGGGAGATGACGATAGGGAGTGACAGATTCATTTCCTTGGAGAATCTGTGCTCTGGTGGACCAGTGTGCCACCCTCCTCCTTGACATTGGGTCTGTTATCATTGGTGTTGGCTTTGCTTCACATTTTCATGTCCAACTCCTCTTTTTAGTCTAGCAGTTCCCGATACACATCTTCTAGTATGTAAATTTACCCTTTCAGCTAATTTATTCATGTAAGGTTGCCAAAGCAATTTAACATTGACTATTTGATGCCAGCTAATATGCCTTATTTTCAAAATACTGCTGCTCCTCGGCTTCTGATTTAAAGGAAATGTGTCTTATTTCGGGGACACTAAACAGACAGGCACCAAGATAAATTTTCTAACTGCTCTGTGTGGGATATCCCCAAATGACTTAAGTAGTTGGAACAAATATGTGACCCTCTTTTACATAAAGCAGTAAAACACATCAGGCAAGTAACACTTAATCCTCTTTCCCATGATTAAAATAAAAATATTCAAGAATAAATGTTGTTTTATGACCTGACCATATGTTTATCATATTATATTGCCAAACTGAATTAAAAAGTGTAGATCATTTGTTTAAAACTTTCACCCTTTTCTGTTTGTTTTTTTTTTTTAATAGTAACCGAATATGAAGGACATGCTCTGTCACTGCTAAAAGAATGTGAACTACAGGGATTTGATGGGTAGGTTGTGTTATTAATCTAGATTTGTCGTATAGCTTATGTTATTAAATGTTTTCATTAGTCTTTAGCCACATATTTGGGACCTATAATTTTTAAATATTTTCTTTCTTTCTTTCTTTTCTTTCCTTTTTCTTTCCTTTCATTCTTTCTTTTTTCTTTTCTTTTCTTTCTTTCTCTTTTTGTATTATTTAATTATTTTATTTTGGTTGGGGGTAGAGGTAATTAGGTTTATTTATTTTTAGAGGAGATACTGGGGATTGAACCCAGGACCCCATGCATGCTGAGCTTGCGTTCAACCACTTGAGTGAGCCTCTCCCCACTTTTAAAATATTTGTGGTGTATGTAATTAGGCTCTGTTTCATTCATATCTGTGTAATAACAATTATTGATAGTGATAATACATCATGGTTATCTACCTACCTCTCAGGATTGGGCATAGGAGAGCAAAAGGAGGAATCTAAATATAAATACTGGGAAATCACAATGTATCATCTTATACTAACCTAATGTGCATACATTTGCATCTGTAGTCCTTAATTCTTGGCTTTAACCATGTGAGTATCTAGAAAAGCATTGATGGAAGATATTATATTGGTCATATGGCATAACTATACTATGATTCTCTTCTGCAGATTTATTGATAGTGTTAGTAGCTACCCATTGGTTAATTTGGACATGACTGATTGAGGGTAAATGCGTTATAAAAACAAATATATTCAGAATGAATGAAAGATGCTAATTTTACTTATCTTCTATAACTTAGTGGCTACCAAATGAGTATTTATTCGCAGTAGGCTTTAGAAACTGTTGTTTGCAATACATTGCTAGAGTGTGTAGAAACTGTTCACTGGCATACAACATTAGAAACAAGGCAAATGACATATACCTTAATTGACATTTTAAAAAATGAGGTGAATCAGTTTGCTAAAGTGCTGGATTGATGTGCAAAACTAAAAGCATATTCTTTTAGGGAAGGTCTTTTGCAAGGGTGAATATTTCAGAATTTTAAAAGGTGGCAGGTATGTGAATTGTTTCTGTCCCATGTGGATGGGCAGGGGTGTTGGGGGACAACAGACTCAGTATCAGGAAGGGTAGCTGGGTCTTTCAACTGAAGTGAAAGGCTTTACTCTTCCCAAAGAACTATTAGAATGTTTTAGCAAGGAAAGTGATGTGATCAAAATGGAGCATTAGCAGGGTTGTTTTTCAGAAATGCTTAATTTGGGGGGGGGAGGGGTGAGAAAAAATTATTGGACGAAGAATAAAGTTTGGTAAGTAAAACATAGTTTTTGAAAAAGAAATGTAATTGAGAGGAGTAAATCTAGATGGAATGTTATATAAATATCGAACATGAAGAATATGAGGTAGGAAAGCACTTCAGAGTTTTATACTTAGAGCTGGACAGTTTGATTAATAGGCTACATTTAAGAGATTATCTTGTAAGCATACAGTTTAAGAAAAGTAATTGGGGGGATTATTCCTACCAGATACTCACCTTAATATGCTGCATGGTCCTGAAACACAGTTTATGAGTATGCAAGAGTCGTGGCATTGCAAGAAGTCCTTGCTTCAAAACATAATTATGCAAAGAATAACAGATGTTATAGGTGTTAGACCTGGTCTTGCACATGAGCGTTATGAAGTATTCCAATAAAGGTGGTATCTGTAAGTGAGTTCTGTTGGTAATTATACTATGCAAAGATCAAGAAGAACTTTGCAGAATGATGAAAGACTATTATGTAAGTGCAGTAGAGTAATATTTTCCTCTTTACCTGAACATGCTCAGTTCTTGTTCCTGCCACACAGCAGGGATTGTTATGTTGCATTGTGGCACTACAAGATATATAGATCCTTTAGTTATCACTGACATATTTTTTAACCAAAGAGTTTGGCCTAACCATTATGGGAATTGGGTTCCTGTGATTTAACTGTTTGTAAACTCCACGGCATGCTGATTTACTTAGGATTTATAATAATTTAAAACTTCTATTGAAAGTCATCTAAGATCCTTAAAATAGCTCATTTACTTTTTTGAGCCTGGTCTTTCCAGTAGGAGCCCAATGGTGGTTTGGATAACTATCTTAATAAAATGGTCATTTTAAGTCACTCTACTTAGAATGACATAGAGAGGTATATGAGTAGAACAATGGAAATATTGTTTCTGTAGGCACTTCACAAGAGCAATTCTCTAACAAGCAGAATTGTTTGAAAATAGAAGGTGCTACATTCACGACTGCCCTATTTCTGAACCTGTTCAAAGAGTGGCTATAGGAGCATTCTTTGAGAAATAGATACAAAAGACTTACGGATGGGATAGGGTAACCCCAAGATGCTACAGCATTTTTTTTTAATGATAGTACTGGGGATTGAACCTAGGACCTTGTGCATGCTAAGCATGTTCTCTTCCACTGAGCTATACACCCTCCTTGCTATAGTATTTTGATGAAGGAAGAGCTCATGTTCCTTCAAGAGCTTGAGCCTGAAGCGTCTCTGCCTGCCTCTAGTGGAGCTGCTGATAGGGAGTGGTAAGGACATCACCTAAAGGTTTTTAGACACAGACAAGAGGGGTTAAGATCCAAGAAAAATTCTATCGGTATTACTCAGTAATGTAAAATGATTTAATAAATAATCTTTAAGAAGTGTTATTTGCTAAGATTTTGGAGTCTTTTTAATGAGTTGCATATGTTTGCGTGAAGACACATTGGGACATATTCCTAACGCCAACAGGAACAGTGCATCAGCACTCACGACAGCTGGTGTGCAGCTCCAGTGTGTTCTAGCAGACACTCTCAGACGGGCTGCTGGAGCCTGAAGGAGCATCTATCTTCATACTGTCCCCTCTTTATACTGGGCATGAGTAAGAAGTTCTGTAAAGGCAAAAGAAAGAGTAATATTGGGTGCATAGACGTGAGGCAGTAACAATTGGATTTATGTGTAAAAATGATTAAGCTAATCTGTAGCTCTAATGCAATTATAAATTTATTAATTTCCCCTTTTGTTTCACAGTGTTTTTTATTTTAGTTTGAATTACAGTTTATTTCTTCTTTTAATTTCATCATTAGCTAGACCCATGAGAATCTAGACATTATTTGGCTTACACTGACGTTTTATCACCACCATGATATCTGTATTACTAAAGTTAAAAAAGAAAAAGTAGCTCTTTTCAGAAAAGAAAAAATTGAAGTCAAAAACCCAGTAATACATTAAACATTTCAGTCATGATATTGGTTGATAGACAGTTACACAAACACTCATTTAAAATTTTTTTATCACTTTTTATAAAGAGAAATAAGATAATTGTCCCCCAGTTGTACTTTTCTAGATAGAAAATTTCCACTTGGCATCATTACAAGTTTACTTATTCTCAAAGCACAGGGTGTATTGCATGTAAAGGTTTATGTTTTAGGGTAACTGTTAAGTGTGATTAGATTGACTCATTATAAAAAGTTGGGGTTTTTTTTGCCTTGTTATATCCAGGTTCTTGTGATATGTTTTATTAAGTGTATTCCCTAGGCTGAGTAAGTGTACCTGGAGATGATCTGAATGATCTAGTAGTTGTCAACATAAATATATTCCTAACTCATTTAATTCCACCGTGATTCTCCTGGTAAACTGATTTCCTAAATAGGAAAACTCTCAGAAGTCTATTTCCATTAGGTTTTATATATAGGAAAGGAGTATAATATATCAAACAGTAATGTAATTTCTAAGGTAAAATTTTTTGTTTCAAAATCTCATTCTGTAACTTATTATGGGATGACCTTGGGAAAGTTGTTTAATCTTTTTATGTCTTAGTTTTCTAATCTGTAAATTGGGAGTAAAATATGTTGCATAGTTTTTGTTCAAATTAAATGTTAATACCTGGAGAGTGCTGAGAACAGTGTCTGGTGCCTGGGGACTATTCACTAAATGTTACTTTATGGTTGTGATGATCTTTTGGTATAGTTTCAAAATATTTAACATAGGAAGTGTCATGACAAAATTTCAAAGGTTTTGTAGCAGAACATGTTCATGAAAAGGCCATGTCTTCTGACTCTTGCATGAGTTACCAGGTACACAGTGCTATAACTGGGTGCAGGATGCCAGGGGTCAAATGTCACCATACTGTATGGTAGAGGCAAGTTCTTTGTGCTAAGTTAGATGCTATGTTTGATGACTTTATGTGCTCCTTTTAGGTCACACACACACCTCAGCAGATAGAAGGCATGGGTCTGGGAGTTATAAATAAGTTCATAGACTGTTTGAAGATCTGCTCATAGAGGTCTTTGAAATCATAAAGATAAAGTTCAAATCAAACCTTGGCTTCTCCATTATTAAGATGGGGCTAAGGCCTACTTCACAGAATTCTGGGGTTTTAATAGAAAAGAGCCCATGTATCACCTGATGTGAAGTTGGTCCTCAGTGGATAGAATCCCTTTGCTCTGCATCAGTGGCCATGTAGTTGGCCCCTGGAATCAGTTAGGATATGAAATAATACCCCTAGCCAAAAATGACCTGGGTCATAGCCCATACCCTGGAGTTTCTTCTAATGAGGAGGGGTCTGGATCACCCGGGCTACGTGCAGCCATTGGGCTGAAGCCCAGTGAGGGGCAGGGGCTGGAAGGCTGAGAGCAAGGTGGAGAGGGAGCTGATGCGAAAAGTCTTCTCAGCCTCTGGATTCACCAACTTCTGGAGCTTCCTAAACTTAGGGAACCAGTAACCCCTGCTGATTCTGGCTCATAGGCTGCTTTGTTTGGCACATAGAGTTTTTAAATATATTGAATGCTAGCTGCTAGTATTTATAAACTAGGAGACTTATCCCCAAACCAGGATCTGTGGCTTCCCTAGAAAAACCAGAAGCGGTGGTGCCCTAAGCCTGCCGCCTGGACACTGGGCGTGGGCGGGGGCTGAGACGCCCCCTCCCTCAGATGGAGCAGATTCTTCCTTTCCTGCTGGGCCTTGGGGGTCTTGGGTTGTGACACCTGCTCTCAATACCACAAAATTTCTTCCTTTTGGTAAATTGATGAGATTTTGATACTTCAGATTATTTTGCATCGTTTAAATACGAATGATGATGAGAAAACATCTGGTATCTTGTATTACTTCCATGACTTCCCACCACTCCTATAGTATACTTATCATGAGGTCTTAAGAAAATATTAGCAGTACTGACGAGGGTCAAAGGGTAGTGACGCTGATCTTAAAAGTGCCGTATTGCAGTAACGTTCAGGAGCTGAAAACCAGTTCAGGTGTGCAACGACCATTCATATACTCGTGATAATTAGCAGTTCCTTAAATTAAAGCTTCATATTTTACATGATTTTTATTGCTGTTCTTTCAGAGCTATATTGAAAATTAGCAGGATTTTATGACTTTGGCTTGTGTTAGTTAAATGAATTACAAGGACTATTATTAACATAAACAAAATGAGAATAATATGCTTTGGGATATTAACAGAGCAAAATTCAGGTCAGATGTGAATTAACGTGCTCAAGTGTTTTAATGCCTCCTAACCCACTTAAAAATACTGTGTCTCTGGGGTAGCATGTAGGTATTATATTTGTGAAGTAAACTTTATATCAGTGCAGTGCTGGTATCTTCTCATCCATACTAAAATGTTTGAAGGTGTGTGTAATGACGTGCATAGAATATATAAGATCAATATTTTAAAGTCTAAATTTCACAAATTATTACCAATTTTGCTAATGTTTTGCATTGTTTCGCTCAATTTCTTCTTTTCCAGTGTTGTCTGTGTTGGTGGAGATGGGTTCGCCAGTGAAGTAGCCCATGCCTTGCTTCTTAGAGCCCAGAAGAACGCTGGGGTGGAGACAGACAGCATCCTGACTCCTGTCCCAGCTCGACCTCCACTTGGTGTGATACCAGCAGGCAAGGAAGGGGCCACGGATTTGCTAAATGGACGCTCTCCCCGGTCTTTCCCTGTTTTACTTTCAACCCTAGACAGTGTCACACAGAGTTAAACACAGACTTTGAGTCAGGAAGACCCACACTTGGCATCTCTGCTAAGCACATGTGAGACTTTGGACAAGTTACTGAATTTCTTTGAGCCCTATTTTTCTAATCTGTAAAAGCAAGATAACACATGATGTTCACTTCATTACAAGGTTATTATAGTGTTGAATTAGGTAGTATATGTGCAGGGTTTAATACATAGTTGAGCAAACAATAAATGAGACTATTATTCTACCTTCCTATATAAAGGTCTAATGATCACACAGTCCCAGATAGGAGATTTCCAAACAGGGCCACTCCAGTCAAGCTGCTTATGACTTCCTATGAGGTAGAGTGTGGTAAGTCAGCTCCCTTAACTGAAGTACAAACGGATGGCTTGGAGAATGCAGCAAGGCTGCATTCTGACTGCTGTCTCCCCAGCAGCTAGAACAGAACCTGTTCTGTTCATCACAGTGAACACCCAGTAAAGCAGAATGAATAAATGCAAGGAAGACATTATGGAGTAAGTACCACTTGAAGTAGACTTGGAAATAGGTCGGATCCCCTGAAAGATGAGAATGAGTTCTTTTCTTGGCTGCAAAAATAATACGGGCAAAAGGCAGGAATGTTGAGGAATTGAAAACAGGCCATCTGCTGGGTGATATTGGTGTCAAAATAGGCCCGAGCTGTGGTGGCTCCTGGATGCCGCAGGAAGAGATCTGAATAGCATTTGATAAATAGTAAAGGAAATGGGCGGTCTCAAGCAAGGGAGCCACCTGCTGGGAGTCTGTGCAAGGAAGATTCCTGATTAGGGGAAGAAAGTAAGAGTGGAGGTCAGAGCCAGGGAGAGGAGCTGGAGCAACACTGGGATCCAGGAAAGATGACAGCATCTTTTGCACGTTTCTTATGTTACAAAGTCACTCCTCCCAAATTATTATTTAAACAAACGATAGTGGAGGAAAGTGATTATTTCTTTTCATTTCAAAACATCACACATTATTATCCCTATAAGAAAAACAGAAATAATTTCAGTTGACCCTTTAACAGCATGGGGGTTAAATCCGCCTGCAATTTATAGTTGGCCTTCCTTTTTCCTCTGCATCCATGAATTCCACCAACTGGGAACCATGAAGTGCTGTGGTATTTACAACTGGAAAATACCCATGTATAAGTGGACCCACTCAGTTTGAACCCGTGTGGTTCCAGGGTCAACTGTGTTCTTTCCTGTGAAAATAGAAAATGGTGGGCAAGGTTAAAAAGAAATCAACATTCTATCCATTTGATAACCACAGTCATTTAGGGTGGATTTCAGTGTGTTTAGTATTATTAATTGACAAAGAACAAAAGGTCTGTTAGTGCCCTTTTAGAGTAAAAAGTCTTTCACAAAAGCAAGAACTTTAAACTAGAGGGAGATTCAGATATATCCTGATAATTGTATAACTTACTGAGAAAAATATGCTAGAAAAACAAAATGCATCAAGTCAAAAAGATACATTTGGGGCCACACTTTGACCTTTCAGTGTCATTTTAGTAGCGCTGTCTGTAATGGTGGAACTTTCTCAACATTTCCCTCCATGCAAAGTGGATGTGCTTGGGTCACTGTTTGTTTCCCTTAGTACTTACACCCCTGAGGTCACTCATCAACTGCAGTGCATCACATGTGGAAAGATAGGTGTCCCCACAGGTATGCATTTGATGTAACGTGAATAGTTAGCTATAATAATTGCTGGCTATGCTGACTTTTTAATATGTAGCTCAGATTTTATAAAGGAATAACACTGAGTTTTATTATCATTGTATTTTTTAAGCGTATATCTGATTTTGAAACTATTTTTTCTATGCAGAGGCTGTGTAGAAATGCCATTTGAATACATTTCATTGAGAAGATACAGCATGTTGCCAAAACTTTGGTGGTTGTACAGGAGTTCCAGCTTATGGGTTTCATCTCATAGAGGGAGGAAGTCACATGCAGGATGTATTTCATATGAGGACTCTGTGTCTGGTCAGGGCTTTGATGGAGAATGGGAACAAGAGCTAGGCAGGAAGTTTCTAAGCTGAGCACAGATGACAGTCTGCCTTTAAAGCCATTTGCCTCCTGGAGAGAGACACCCAGAGGGAGAGTGTTTAGTAAATTACTCCACTGAGCCAACAGACTAAGCCACTGAATTATGGTCAGACTCAAATGGATCAGATGTGGGGAAGCCTGTATTTGAACTGCTGGCCATTAGCAATAGCGTTTGTTGCTATGGGAACTGGTGCTAAGGAACTGTACAGCGACATTCTGGTTAGAGGGTTACGGGGAGGATAGAGAAAAAAAGCCAGAGAGGACATAAAAATAAAAAAACAATCCAGCTGTTGTAAAACAAGGCTCAAGCCACATACTGATGACTGGCAACCATATATTCCTATAGAATTCACATAAATAAATTCATGCTTTCCAATCAATTTGAGGAGAATAAAATATTGCCAAGGGACTGTTAATTTCTCTGATAGTCCAGGCAAAGAACCAGAGTGTAGGTACAGTTTTCATGAGGATTTTAGATATGCTTGACTAGGAAGTCATTACATCACATTTATCTGTTTGGATGTGGGAGACATTAACAGCCTTATGAATATTCATGGTGTCTGGTTAATTAAGTTAATTGTTTTGCAGAAGTGCTTGCACTTCCAAGGACAATTTTTTTTCCTTTTTTTTTGCCTCTGTAGTTTCTGTCCAGTTCTTCCATCTGTAATGCTTTACATGAACTGCTACTTCTGTCCTCACTCACTGGATGTGGCACATTTTAGCAGGTTTAGGGAGGGGGCAGTGAACAGAGTTTCTGGGACTGTTAAGAAAAATAACTTTCCAGGCTAATTAAAATGTTTACCTCGAGGTAGAACATTTATAGCTTTGGTGAGAATGCTAAAATTACAGTTTTTATTTATGTGAGCAGCACGTTCTTTTGGATAAATCTTTTTTTTTTTGCAGGAAATTGTACTCTTTTAGATAAGTCAAATGAAAATATGGAGCAATCTCTAGTTTCATAATTTTGCATCTACTTTCCTCATGAACGTTCCCTTTTTAAATCAGAGTATAAAAACGTTCTTCAGATGAAGGTAGAGGTTAAGCAGGGTAGAAGATAACTCAAATGATTTTCTGACTTCTGGTCATGCCTGTCATCACTGCCCAGGTCAATGGAATGAAAGAAAAGTTGCAAAGCCTGAGAAGATGTAAAAATCAAAAAGCAGTCTCCAGCATTCTAAGTGGATTTGTGCTTGGGCATACTTGGCATACGTCAAACTCACAGGGAACAAACAATCTTTATTTTCTTGAGTCATGATATGTGTCATTCTCTATTGCACATGACAACATGATACTATGTTTTTTAATAACCTTTCTCGAGGTTTGCTTTTATGGTCTTCTCCTAATTACCCCTAGTAATGGAGGCGTTGTATTTCATGGAGTGCTGTAATCCATCGATAATCCGAAATACCTCCCTCTAATTATGTGGCCTCCTTCAGAACCTCTACCATAAATCTGACTTGGAAGCAGAACAGATTGATTTGTTTTCTCTTGTTTTCCCCACCCTTTCCAGATAGATTAGCAATGAGATGGCCAGAGGGCAGGCTGTAAAGGGTCAAAGGATGATTGGAAAAGCCTAGGTAATTGACTCCTCATAAAGACCCACTGAGGAACAGGTTTCTGGACCACTTGTTCTCAGACTTTAGGGTGCATACGAATCACCGGGAGAACTTGCTAAGACGCGGGCACCTGCGCCCTGCTCCCAGCCATTCCTTCTCTATGGGTTGGAGATGGAACCCCAAAATTTGCCTTTTTAACAAATTCCCAGGTAATGTTGACGCTGCTGATCCTTGAACGACATGTTCTGGAGGAGGGGCTCTCCAAGTTCCTGTGCATATGCATAATCTGAGGATCTTATAAAATGCAGACTGTGACTTGTTAGGTCTGGAGTGGCGCCTGAGAATCAACCATGTGATAAACACCGACGTGTGGTCATTGCTGCTGGACTGGGGGACATGCTCTGAGTAACACGTCAGAGCGTAACTACCTTCTGATAAATCACTTAAAACCAGTTTACCAGTTGATTAAGGTGGACATTTCTTTGCATCGATAACATTAGAGGTCTGGAAATCATTACTGCTGAGACAGGTACCTCATGATTATTATTGTTTTAATGACAGACAGTCTTGCTTGATAATGGCTGAGTTGCCTCAGCTTCTCCAGCTGAGCAACCCAAGCACACATCAGTTCAAAGTGACAGAAATCAAGGGGATCACTTATGACCACACAGGAATGTTCCTAATGTGCAAATCCAGGGGACTAGCCATTGCCTTGATAGCTACAGTGTGCAGTACGTCCCTGCTTTCACAGCCCTCAGCTGTCCCTGGACTTACATCAAGAAGAATTGTAGCTTCTTAATTTTAAATCCTTTTTACCTCCCGGGAATGACAGGGGCTAACTGCTACTTTCCCCTTGGAAAGCAGGCCTTTACCCCAGGATCTCAGACACACAAGTTAAAGGCGCCTGACTTGAGAGAGCTCTTTCTCTGTGTAGTCTGGTGGGGAAAATCCACGTGGATCTTAGATTCTCCCAATGACTATGGAAATCAGAAATCTATAATGTCTCAATACAGATTCTCATACTGTGGCAAATACCATGGAATTAAATATTTTCTTCATCTAGGATATCCTTTTTCAGGTGATAGAGGAGATCTCCGTCTGGTTGAGAGCTTTAAAATGTATTTAAAGCATATCTTTTGAACTATATAGTGATTTTTTTACTTTCTCTTTAGTTATTGGTTGGTTTTTTTTTTCATATTTATGTATTTGTCTCTGCTCTCCAGAGCCATCCTTCTGCTGTTGGTGCTCATTTGGTAAAAAAAAGTTAGAAGCCTATTCATCAAAGTTGGATGGAGCAGACTTTGATATAGCTAGCACTTTTTCAGGTAGACAATAGACATTCATGATGGAAGAAGCTGTGAGCAAGTAAATACTATAAATTGTTTCCCAATTTTTAAGCATATTTGAAGATAATAATTCAGTGGTCACTCAATTAACATCCATCATGTGAACAAAAACTTATAAACTTCCATTTAATTTTTCATCTGAACATTACATGGTGACATTGCTATAAAGTAAGAGCAAATGGTTAATTTAAAACATTTGTTACACTGATCATACATGTTTTAAAATTGATTTGACAGGATCCACGAACGTATTGGCACATTCTCTTCACGGAATCCCTCACGTGGTAACTGCAACTTTGCACATTATAATGGGTAAGAATTCTTCTAAAGGAGTTCATGTTTTATAAGGGAGTTTCTGTTTATATAAGGACAGCGCTTTTATTTCTGTCAGACTTGTCTAAGACAGATTCTTTGTCTCTCAAAGCAGAGGAATATTTGACTAAAAACCAAAAGTCAATTAGACAAAGCTTCCATCTCTGAACTGCTAATCTTTTCAGAATACAGGTGCCATAAAGAGTAGTAAATGGAGTTTTACCATAATCTTGATAGAAAAAAATAATGATTAAGATCACAATTTTACCACCAGATCAAGAACACCCATTTATACTGTTTAAATATATCAGACACTGTTGTTTGACTGTACCAAAACTCTAGGGCTAGTTATTAAAAGAAAGAAAAAATGCACAAGAAAAATTTTTCAGGCAGTGTACTTCCACTAGACCTTTTATTATCTCAACTGATGTAGAGAATTTACATTCAAATAAATGCAGTGAAAAACTACTGCTAAATCTAAGTGTACTTTACATATGTACTTCACTTCTTTAACTGTGTTTTGCATAAAATAGCAAGAAGCTTCAAAATTTACTGTTTTGTGTTTCTTCCCATAGTGCCTGAAAAAGTTCCAAATTGCAAATGGAATAGTTGTCGGTAAAGAGAGTTGAAGAGAAAGCGGGTTACTTATTATAGTATAAAGTTGCTTGACATTTTCTTCTGTAAAGAAATAAACATACTCTTCTATGTTTGCCATTTTGACAACTGGTCTACTGTGTTTTCTGGCTGACTCATATTCAATATACTATTCAAGGGCACATACAACAGGTCGATGTCTGCACCTTCCGCACCCCTGGCAAGTTTCTGCGCTTTGGGTTCTCAGCCATGTTTGGGTTTGGTGGAAGAGCTCTGGCTCTGGCAGAAAAACATCGATGGATGCCCCCTAACCAACGGAAGGATTTTGCTATAATTAAGGCACTGGCAAAACTTAAGTAAGTCTTTTTTTTTTTTTCCAACAAAAAATTTCATATCCCAGAGTCAATGACTGCTAGTAACAAATTTCATTACATTTTAGGCCGGAGGACTGTGAAATATCATTTTTACCATTTAACAGCTCTCAGGATTTAGAAGAAAGGTAAGTTAAGAGCTCAAAGTAATACAGGTGTCTGTATCTTTTTTTTAAAGCATAAAACCGTTTGATATAAACAATTTATTAGACTTGTGATCTTCTGTTGTTATTCTGTCATGTTAGTGAAGAATATAGAATCACAAAGACCTACAGATTCTATCAGTCCACGTAGTTTGGTGTCCGTCTTCAGAAGTAACTGTTCCCCCCCCTCCCTCCCTCCACCCAACGTCTATTTACTGAGCGCCTGCTGTATGCCAGATACTTCGGATCCAAAGAGCCAAAACGCAAACAAATAAACAAAACTCATAATTTTTGCCCTCATGAGAATTTCTAGCATGTAATAAAAATATTAAAGCCACACAAAGGAAGTGCTCTAGTCTTTATAAACAAAATTGAAAATCATTGTTACTGATGATGCTACCTTTCAATGAATCAATACATGATAAAGTAACAGAACTGTTCACACAGTTTAACTTACTGTCTAATCTAATGTTGGGTTTTCTAATTTTCTCATGTTTAGTGGACGCTGTTTTTTGTGTGATGTGTTTTGTGTCTTTGTTTTGTTTTCTTACTTTTAGGAGGGCACAGGGATTTACCAGATCGGGTGAGTTTGAAATGACCTCCTTGAGAACTGAGCCAGGCTCTTGTGACACTTTGCTCTGGGGATGGAGAGTAACGACCACTTCCGTTGCCTTTAGGCTGTGATGCTCAGTGGCAAATGATCCAGGGTCAGTTCTTGAATGTCAGCATCATGGCAATTCCATGCCTGTGTTCAGTGGCACCTAGGGGCTTGGCACCTAACACCAGGTTAGTAAGTGTTTTTATTGAATCATTGATACTTTGCTATGAATCACGTTTATCTTTCAGAATACCCTGCTAACTCTTGGCTAGTTAGAATATTATCAATTTTGACTATATAATATTAGAGATTCTGAAGGATTTGTCATCAGAGTAGCCTGAGAATAACTGTTAAGCTGGAAAAGTGATCAGTTACTCGATTTTTTTTAATGTCATTGAGGCTAAAATAATATGCCTTGGGCTTTATTGACATCACTTAATTGTGGTACTTTCTCCCTCTTTGCTTGCTTTATTTATTTGTTTATTTACCAGTCATTGAGACCATTATCTTTAATTCTAGTATCTTAAATGAGTTTCTCTGCCTTCCAATTTTAGTGCAGACATAAACAACCTTAGCATGAATGGCATGTATGTGTGTATATGTGATACCTTTAATCAAAAGAAATATTTGTTATATTTGGTGTGCATAGTCATACATATGAATCTACTACCCACGTTTCATGAGGCTTTTTCTACATCATTTTGTCCACAAGAGGTAGATATTCCATCTTTTGCACATTTTTTTCAAGCAATTGTCCATTATTGGTCTGAAAATCTTTCTCCCTTTCCTGTGGAGCACAGAAGAAAGGGTCATGCATGTTGTGTAATACAGTCACATTTTCCCCAGAAGTGGAATAAAAGAATGACTTATGGACATACTTTGGCAATTTATAACATCATTTTAATGATTAGTTTCAACTTCCCTGCAAAATATTTAACCTGAAGGATTAACAGCTGGCAAAGGGATTGATTTAAAATATTCTCCCTGGCAATTGATAAGAAAGAGGAAAATATCCACATTTAGAGAAGAGGAGAAACTACAGACTTTGATATTAAAAATCCAGATGTCAGAGTCCTCGTTAATTATCTCTAGTGCTGAAGCTCGAAGGGAGTATTTTGAAGCTTGTGTGATTTAGAAATTGAGCATGATTGCTTCCTCCCTACACCCTCAGAAATCCTAGCTTGCTGTGTGAAGAGCTGGGAAGCCACTGAAAGCTGTGGTCCACAGGTCTGGGCACACTGCTGCTCTAGCCCTCCCCCATCGCTGACCCTCCCACTGGCTCAAGGACCTTCATGGGAGGTAGTCCCGCTCTTCTGGGAGCACTTGCTTCCTGCCTCCTTCAAAGCTGCTCCAGACATTTTTCAGCTGGCCTGGAATTCCCCTGCTGAAGCTCCAGGTTCAATCAGCCTTGATGAATTTTTCAGAGAAGGACGATTAGTTAGAGATTTCTTCTGTGGATTGTAATCACACATGCCATTTTTGCAAAGGCCTTTCTGTTGAGCGAGCCCTGACCAAAGATACTCAGAGATTTATCATCTGAACGATTCAGGAAAAGTGCACAGGAGTTTCAACTTTCTGCTTCATTTATTTTTTCATGATAAAGTATAATTTACTTCAGAATACCTCAGTGCAAGTTGCTGACAGGAGCTAATATGTTTATATTCTAATTTTTCTAAAATTAAATGCATTAATATGTGTAAAATATTTATAATAGTGCTAGGACATAGGATGTGTTTCAACTACTAAAAAGCATTGAAAAGTGGACATGTGAAAATGCTTTTCATTACAAGTGAAAATTAAATAATTTTTAAAAAATGAAGGACACACAACACACTAATGTTTTGATATTGTTTATTTCCAGTCAGGAAGAGGTGGCATAATGGGTAAAAGGATCACTGGACCTGGGATTCAGAGCTCTGGATCAGGGTCTGATCATTTTTTTTCTCTGAACAAATCACTTCAACTCGGGGGCTGCTTTCCTTCTACAGACATTGAGTGAATGACTGGATAGTCTCCAAGGTCCCTTACAGCGCAAACCTGAGCTTCCCTAAGATTTAAAGAGCTCTTTTTTATGTCATTGTTGTTATTCTTGGAATAACTACCTTTGCACTGAAATTGAGCCTAGAAGTCATCTGCACGTATTTCTGCAAACTGCCTTCTAAAGCTCGATGCATCTGTGAGTGGCTTTTTGGCACTAAATCACACCTCCAAATTTACAGTCTCTTACATTGAACCAAACAGGCAAGATTAAAATGTTCAGCCATTTAACTGGACATGTGTGGGAGCATTCCCTCCAGTTCATCCATCCGAGGACCACTTTGATTCGTCTGTTTTCCTGTGTCACTTAGCCCTGCTCATAAATAAACATTTAAATCATGCTTTAGATTTTAAAAAGTGTTGTTGAACTAGTTGTTATGCCATTTGTATTTATTACCTATTTTACAATATGTCTTAAAAAACATACATGATTTCCCATTTAGAATCCCTAAGCAAATACAGTGGGTTTCAAATTATGTCTTGGTATGTGAATAGGATGCCTGATGATTCATTTGATGCCAGGGCTTGCTGAAAAGGAAGTCAATTGTTTTAATAAAATGAATTCAAAAGGCTGTGCCATTTAAAAAAAATAACGCAGCAAGATATGATTTAAGAATTTTAGGTAAATTTAATGTGGTGATGATTTTATCTAACTTGCCTAAAACTTCTAGTAAACATTGTTTGTTAGAAAGAATAAGAGTAATTTCTGATGCAATCTCTTAATAAACTTCTTCATATCAAATGCAAATATTTAATTTCAGATTAAATAATGGAAGTATGGCTCTTATAATTGCCCGGAACACTTCTCGACCAGAATTTATAAAACACCTGAAAAGATATGCAAGTGTTAAAAATCAGGTAGAGTAAATCATTTGTGTTACTTATGTGCAAATCTATCAGTCATGGGGAGAGAGATGCTCCCTGAGTTGACACAAGTCCTGCCTCAGAAGAAGGCTTTATTCTCTTCTGAACCTTTTAATTTTTTTTCCAATTTGTGTTTTCTTCAACTTTTGAACAATATCCACAAGTATTAATGTAGACTGGCCTTTTTTGAATTGTGGGTTGGTGGTTACATACATTTTGTATATGTGTTTGCACAAAGGGAAAATAGAAAACGTAGGGTTATATTGAAATGTGAAGGGAATTAAGGATAAAATTATGTATTTGGTTTTATTCATAAAAAAGATGAATAAAATCTGAAATTTTTAGCCTCCTTGATTTTATGGCAACAGACTCTCTAAAGTTATGACCTTTGGATTTCCCTTTCATTTGAGATCTGTTTACTTACATTGATGGAAACAGCTTTGCTGATACATATTTTAAAATATACCACATTTATATAAACATCATTTATTTTATTCTAAACTAGAATTGTGGTGTTTGTGGAGATAGAGAAAATTGTATTTCCACTTAAGGGGATTTGTTTTAAAGAGAAGCTATAGCCTTTATAAGCCATATGCTTTCAGCAGATATTTTGACCCAGTTATTAGGAAACTGATCCAGAAATATGTGACTTTCTGAAATTGTATGAGCCTTGAATTGAAGTATGTAGTATGCTTGAAAAACCTTATCATTCTCACACCTTCTGAAAGATATAAAATTGTGCCTGGATGTAGTTGGGAGAGAAGGGATGGGAGGAGGAGTGTAAATCCAGCCAGTGACCAGCAGCTGAGTCTTGCTTACACAGGGAGCCATTGCAAGACTTCCATTTTGGCTTTTTTTTTTTTTTTATCAGTTTATACTTTCTAAGGCAGTCCTCTGCAGTGCCAGTTCTCTTCTGCCTAGAACAGTATTTGATCAGTGTCTACTGAGCAACCAACTGAATGAAATGTTTAGGAAATTATATGATAAAAATGAGATCTAGTCCTATTTTCCTGAAATTTAAATCTCTAAGGAGACAAAGACAAAAGTAAATATAATGTAGGTTGTGAGCCTAAGTAGTAACTTAATGTATGTTTATCTGGAGAAATACAGTGATTTATTGATTTTTTTTAACTGAAGTATAGAGTTGAGTTACAATGTTAGGTTAATTTCTGGTGTACAGCATAGTGATTCAGTTTTGCATATGTGTACATATATGCATACACACACACATTTCTTCACATATTCTTTTCCATTATAGGCCATTACAAGGTATTGACTATAGTTCCCTGTGCTATACAGTAGGACCTTGTTGTTTATTTAATATATAGTAGTTAGTATCTGCAAATCTCGAACTCCCAATTTATCCCTCCCCACCCCCTTCTCTCCCTGGTAACCGTAAGTTTGTACTCTGTGTCTGTGAGTCTGTCTCTGTTTTGTGAATAAGTTCATTTGTTTCCCTTTTTTTAAGATTCCACATATAAATGATATCATATGATCTTCTTTCTCTTTCTGGCTCACTTCACTTCAGATGATGATCTCAGGGTCCATCCATGTTACTGCAATGGCATTATTTTATTCTTTTTTATGGCTAAGTAGTATTCTAGAGTGTGTGTGTAAAAAACAACTTCTTTATCCAGTCATCTGTCAATGGACATTTAGGTTGTTTCCATGTCTTGGCTATTGTAAATAGTGCTGCTATGAACATTGGGGTGCATGTGTCTTTTTAAATTAGAGTTTGCTCTGGATATATGCCCAGGAGTGGGATTGCTGGCTCATAAAGTAAGCCTATTTCAGTTTTTTAAAGGAATCTCCATACTGTTTTCCATAATGGCTGCACCAAACTACATTCCCACCAATAGTGTAGGAGGGTTCCCTTTTCTCCACACCTTCTCCAGCATTTATCGTTTGTGGGTGTTTTTAATGATGCCCATTCTGACTGGTGTGAGGTGATATTTCATTGTAGTTTTGTTTTGCATTTCTCTGATAATTAGCAATATTGAGCATTTTTTCATGTGCCTATTGGCCATTTATGTGTCTTCACTGAAGAAGTGTTTGTTTAGGTCTTCTGACCATTTTTGGATTGGGTTTTTTTTTTGTTGTTATTGACTTGTATGAGCTGTTTGTATGTTCTGAATATTAAACCTTTGTCAGTCGCATCATTTGCAAATACTTTCTCTCATTCTGTAGGTTGTCTTTCCATTTATTTACGGTTTCCTTTGGTGTGCAAATGCTTATAAGTTTAATTAGGTCCCATGTATTTATTTTTGCTTTTATTTCTGTTGCCTCAGTAGACTGCCCTAGGAGAATGTTGATACAATTTACATCAGAATATTTTGCCTGTGTTCTTTTCCAGGAGGTTTGTAGTGTCTTGTCTTTAAGCCATTTTGAGTTTATTTTTTTATGATAGGAGGGAGTGTTCTAATTTCATTGACTTAAACATGGCTGTCCAGCTTTCCCAAGACCACTTGTTGAAGAGACTGTCTTTTCTCCATTGTATATTCTTATCTCCTTTGTTGAAGATTAATTTACTGTAGGTGTGTAGGTTTATTTCTTGGCTCTCAATTCTGTTCCATGGATCCATATGTCTGTTTTTGTGCCAATACCATGTGGTTTTGATTACTGTAGCTCAGTAGTATTGTCTGAAGTCTGGGAGGGTTATTCCTCTAGCTTTGTTCTTTTTCTTCAGTATTGCTTTGGCAATTCTGGATCTTTTGTGATTCCATATAAATTTTAGGATTACTTGTTCTAATTCTGTGAAAAATGTTCTGGGTAATTTGATAGGGATTGTGTTAAATCTGTAGATTGCTTTGGGTAGTATGGCCATTTTAACAATATTAATTCTTCCATACAAGAGCATGGGATATCTTTTTATTTCTTTAGTGATTTATTGCTCTTTTAAAGAATATATGCTTTTTCAGATGTTGATAATTTTGTTTGCAACTTTATTATTTTTCTTAATCCAAAAGCAATACAAGTTTATTGTTTATTTCTAAGTCAGAAAATAGAAACAAAATAATGTAAAAAGCACTCAAAATTCTATATTCCAAGAGATAATGAGTGTCATTACCTTGGTATAAACGTTTCCTAATCTTTTTCAAATAAATATGAGAACTTAAGGGAGTAATAACCTTAAGGAACTTAACCTGAGAAGCTGTATATTTATTTTAGGGAGGAACCAGTTGCACAGATTACTTACAGAAGTACTCTTTTGGAATTGCCTAAGTGGCAAATGTCTTAGGTAATCTTTTTAGACATTCTTTTTTCAATATGAAAGTAGCTATCTTCTGATTTAAAAAGTAACAGATGCTTACTATGAAAATAAAGACAAAGACATAGTAGTGCACATAATTCTGTATCTATAGGAAAATAACTTTTTTCAAAAGGAGACCATGTTACGCATGATATAACATTCTTATTTACTCAACCAGTCATACCTTTTGATACAAAAACTATTGCCTCTGTGTGTTTGATTGTATGTGTAGGTCATTAAAATTAACTGATTGACTTAACTCTTTCCAAAAATTAAAGTCCATGCTATTGCTCTGTAATTTTTTTGCAAAGAAATTCTAAAATGTTTTCCATAATGGTATCTATTAAGAATAACTGGATTTTGGGGAGAGGGTATAGCTCAGTGGTAGAGCGTGTACTTAGCATGCACGAGGTCCTGGGGTCAATCCCCAGGACCTCCATTAAAATAAACAAACCTAATTACCTCCCCCCTAAAAAACATAAAATAAAAACAAAACAAAAAAATTAAAAAAAAGAATAATTGGATTGATTCTCAAGGTGACTGCTTTCAAGCAATGTTAATTTGATATATTTGTTTAAAAATTATAGACATACACATATACATATACATGTACTCTCTCCTTCATGGTGACATTTTTCAAAAATGTAAATTGATATAAATGATACAATACTATAAAGACCGGATAAATGTAAGATCATATAACCTAGTGTCTATTAGTAGCAGTTCTGGTATCCAGGAAGGTAAATGCAACACTTCAACCTAAGGAGAGCAACAACCTAGGTCTCTGAACCATCTTTACCAGGCTGAACTGAATTGAATGTTGATGTATGTTAACAAGAGTAGAACATCTTAAAACCCATCATTTTTAGGTGACTCATCTTGCCTTCCCCATCTCTACAAAACAGATAGAAGGTTGAAATTATTCTTCAAGTCCTTTCAACTCCATCCTGCAGAAGGCTTTTGTTTTCTGTTTATACATTTCTACGTTCACTTTGACCATCATTTTTGGTAGGGAGTTTAAAACCCTGAAGTGTTCTTGCTTCCCAGAGATTTGTTTGCAGTCTTCTTGTCTTCTCATGATACCTTTTTCTGGGTGACTTCATTGCCTCCCACTGCTTGAAGTACTATCTCTGAACTTTGCACACTACCAGGGGTTCTGCATTCTCGTCTGATCTGTGGGACTGCTCTGCCTTCCTGTGTGCTGAGAAGGTTAAACTCGTAGGCATCTTGAGTCCAGCATGTCCGTTGTTTCCCTGATTGCCTTTCCCCCTGATGGTGCTCCTTCCGTATCTCTCCACGCAGGGCAGTGGCACTGCTCTCCACCCATCCTGGAGTTACTCAGGGTCCCTCTCACTCCCTCATTCCTCACAACCAGTCCACCAGTTAATTCAACCTTAATCCTTTCTTGCTTACAACAGCCTCCTTTTGGTCCTGCTGTTCTCTGATCTTGTTTGCTGCATTTCCTTCTAGAGGGGTTTTTCTGAAACACATATCTGCCATGACAAATATCACAGACTGAGTGGCTTAAGCAGCAGAAATTTATTTTCTCACAGTTCTGACGGCCAGAAATCTGAGACAGTGTCGGTAGCTTTGGTTTCTCCTAAGGCCTCTCTCCTTGGCTGACAGCCGCCTTATGGCTATGTCCTCACTTGGTCTTTTCTCTGTTCATGCACGTCCCTGGGGTCTCTCTGTGTCCCAGTCTCCTCCTCTTATGAGGACAGCAGTCATCCTGCATTGGGCCCATGCTAAAAACCTCATTTAACTTATTCTTCTAAAGACCTTATCTCCAAATACAGTTACATTCTGAGATACAGGGGTTAGGACTTCAACATATAAACTGGGGAGGGAGGACACAGTTCAGCCCATAATACCATATATTGTCTGTTTTTTAAAATCATGTATAGGCATTTATATATTCTGCAAAGCAAATGCCAGAATACCAGTGCTGCCATCAATACCATACTATGTTGAATGTTCTGTAGTTTGTTGATCATGTCTCTGTACTCTTGGTTTCCTCTCTCCAGAGCTTCCTCCCTTCTCCTCCAGGCTAATTCTTCTGTGTCCTTTAAGACTCAGCTCAAGGGGGCAGTTCACCCAGCATCCTGAGCCTGTTGGCCTTTTCTCATTTCTCTCATTTAACTCTGCACTTACACCACCATGGTCCTTACCTCTATCCCAGCTTTAACTGTTTACTGCTCTTCCTCGTGCCTCAAACACCCTCACATGTGATACCAAGCTCTTGGCTTCCCTGAAGTCCCATCTCACAATGTCTGTGGCTTCATAGGAATACATTTGCATGGATGGATGGATGGATGGAGCTACATTTTGTGAAGTGTGCACGTGAAAACTGGTGAGGTAAGACAGTAGACTTCCTGGGGAAGGCCATCAATCCCTGACATTCCTTGGCTTCAGGTGCATCACTCTAGTCTCTGACGCTGCCATTACAAGACGTTCTCCCTGAGTGTCTGTCTTCCCGTAGCATTCTTCTTCCTTCCAAGGACACCAGTCCTGGTGGATTACAGCCCACCCTAATGATCTCATCTTCACTTGATTATATCTGCAAAGACCCTGTTTCCAAATAAGGTGACATTCACATGCACTAAGAGTAAGGACTTCTAGAAATCTTTATGGGGGTCACAATTTAACCTATAATAGCCAATGATCATTGATTCATTTAAAATAGATTATTTTTACAATGAATGATGATGTAAAAATTTTTATAAGTGCACAGTGTGAGGGGCGGCCCCAAAGCCTCACCCCTGAGATGGGACGTCTAATGCAGCAACTGTTACACAGCTTTAGAGAGAGCTTTGCTGCTTCCACAGAGAGTTGCTTGGAGCCTCGCAACTCGGTATTTCATTCAGAACCGCTTATACAATGGCGTAACTCAGTATAATCCACCATGTGCCCCAGTGCATTACAAATGGTAAAATCTGTTGGACCTTGGTTTCTATGTAAAATAAGGGGATTGGGGGAAATACTAGTTTTCTGTCAACTGTCAAGTAAAATTCTGCACTTCATTGAGGTTTATATGTGAAAGAAGGGGAAAAACATGTAGGTAACACATTTGGAATAAACCTCATGCCATTTATCTGAAAACTGAAATAGATGAGTGTTTGTGAACTTCTACTAACAAGTTATTTGACTGCCTTTTCTTAATCACTTCAGGGAACATGTATCTTTTCACTATAGTTTCTCCTTAGGCAAATAAGAACGTTGAAGAGGACTTGGCACCATTTTAGAGTGGTCAGGAAACAAATCCAGTTATCTTGCAACTTGTTCACCTTCCACGGAGGACGAGGCAGGCCAAGCACCTGTAAAAACCACACTGGGCGGACTTTCTCTTTTCACCTTTATAAGTTTAGTTCTTCCTGATGAAATTCCAAACATGACACTTACTCCAGAGCCTGCTTTACATCAGCTAAACTGGTTGACAGTAATAAAGTCAGTGGACCATATAAATGTGCTGTATCAACAGACCAGTATTAAAGATTTTAGTCTTTAATTGGAAATGACTGTATGCAATCGCATAGAAATACACTATTTGCCATAAAACAGGTTTGCCAGCTGCTAGATCTAAACGAGCTGGGAAGGCTTCAGAAAATGGGCTCCTTCTTCCAAAGAAACTGGAACGAATTAGAGCTCCAAAGCTTAACAAACGTCAGCGTGCATGTTGATATTTACTTGCAAGAGAGAACACAGTGAACTTTCTTAGTGCACGCTGCAGTTAGGGACAAAGCAAGTACCAGGATTATTTGCATTTATTTATTTTTTTAGTTCAGTTTTCCATTTGTTGAGACTTACACTGTTGAAGAAGTAAAAGTTTACCCCAAGAGTAACAGCAGTCGGCACAATCCAGAGGAAGAGGACGGACCACGTGGACGTGCCTCAGGAAACAGTTTCCCTTGGAATATAGATGGTGACTTAATGGAAGTTGCATCAGAGGTCCATGTTAGGTAAGTCTAATTATTTCACCACCTTATATGCCTATCAGTAAACACAAAACTCAGAATATAATGGAAGCCACCTTGTAAATTTATCAGGCAAGGAGTTGGGTAATTTTTTAAAATTTGTAATTCAGGGAAGCATATAAAGACACATGTACAATTTTAGTGAAGTATAACTTTGCACATAACTTTGTATTTATTCACCCACTGTTACACAGAACCAAAGCATTTTCTTTGGATATGAGTCTCTACATTGGCGTTGTGACTTACTCTTTTTCATAAACAATGCAGATAATGTCTACAGTTTCCATTTTGAAATTTAAAACTGGATTAAGATCTTAAACCCTCTGAAGCTGTCTGCATAGCAGATGGTTACAATTTAATCCCTCTGTCTTTTAAATTTTCCTTTTAACCCTAGCAAATATTATAACACTTTGTGTTCAGCAGGTTGCTTTTATCAAGACTTTCCAAAGCATTCAACTTACTTTACATAAGAATAATTTTACATATTTATTAACAAGAGCAACTGGTAATAAACAGGCTTGGGAACAAGCAAGCTCACTGTTGGTTAAGCATTAGGACTCAGCGGGTAGAGGCAGAGTGTAGGGGGCTCTCTGGGTAGCCCACTAAATGTGAGCTTTCTATAGGCACAAATGACAGGACTTTACAGTAATTACTGCTGCTGATTTAGTAGACCTCACACTTTACTAGATGGCAGCCCTGCCATGAATATATGTTTGTTGGCTATTATTAGATTTGCATTTGGTATTATGCACCACACTTGATAGGTGTTATGTGTGAAAAAAAATATAGATTGATGAAATAATCATGCATATTATTTACATTCTTTATAGAGTACACCCAAGACTTATCAATCTTTATGGAGGAAGCATGGAAGAGATGAATGATTCCAAAGTAACATGTAATTGTTTATAAAGGTAATGTGCAAACTAGAATTTTAATATGAAGGGATAGTTATGTTTAAACATTTATGTATGTATATTTGTATTGAAGTATAGTCAGTTTACAATGTTGTC